AAAAATGAAATTTGATTTTCAAAAATATCCATAACTTCACAACTCATCCAACAATTTAATCAATAATTTCCCGGGTCACTGGTTTAATACGGTAAAACGTGACAAACTGTCACTTGATTTTGCGAATTTTTTATTACATAAATAATATATAAGATTAAGATGTAATCTTTATCCTTAATTTTTTAAAAACTTTTTTCAGGCAGATTATTAAAGCGGAATTCGTTAAAACAATATATGAATATATACGTATAACAAGAACTGATTTATACAAAATCAGAACTCAATTTTTTCGCTGCCGTTTGGTCCATAAACAGGTAACAAATAACTATATTATGTATTTTTATTTAATAATTAATTCACCTCTATATCCATTTAAATTATTAACCCAACTCAGCCTGTAAAATATTGAATTATAAAATACACTAATATAATAAGTCCTTCAAAAATAAAATTAATATATAAAAAGATATCAATATTCTACGTATTAACAAATAAAATACTCATGACTTAGAAAATGGATCAAACATTGTTAAATCCGCCTGAGATATCTTTTGATTTCCTGAATTATTATTGGTTGGCTTCATAACATTAGGTTGAAGTATACCTCCAGGTTGAAGTATACCTCCAGAACTGAATTTTGGTCCTGGAATAGTATTAAATAAGTCTGACGTGATATTAGAGGTGCGCGTTGGCATTGTCGGTGTACTAGGACGTTGTGTTGTGCCAATTTTAGGTGGAGGAAGTGATGGAATATTATTATTGAACGAATGTGAGGAATTCAAAGAATTCAAGGAATTCATTGAATTCATTGAATTCATTGAATTTCGAGGTTGAGAATGTACTGTTGAAGTTGTTGGTATAGTTGAAGAGAAAATGTCTGGTTGTATACTTCCATTTAATGGTACATTTGAATTATTTGAGGATGCCTTTAAAAATAAAATTATGATTAAGTAAGAACGAGAATTTTTAATGTTTAAATAAATACTATAATATCAATTTACCAAATTAATGGATCCTAAAGTAAATGAATTTGGATGCATTTCCATTTGCACCTTGCTTTGTCCATTGACAACACCATTAGTGCTATCAGTCATTCCACTCGTAGCTCCAACCAGTTTCTCAAAATCAATTGATCCAACTTCATCCTTGTTTTTTTCTGAAAATAAAATTGAGTTTTAAATGAATACA